TTTTCTTTCTTTTTTTTTTTTTTTTATCAAATTATTTTATTAATTCAATAATTAACAGACAACTAAGACTGTGACGTGTGTTCGAAGAAGTTCTAATGATTACAGCTCGGAAAGATTTATTCGAAGAACATTATTTTTATTCGATTCGTTGAATTCTTAAAAAGTTAGAAAAAAATATTCTATTGGATAAATTAATTTATATTATTAATATCCGTTTAAAGAGAATTAATAATTAATTTTATTTCTTGATGATGTAAATTAAAAATTTAGATACAATTGTTGGAACTATGCCTTCCTCGTCGTCACACAGTCACGTTCTCCATTTAATTCCATTAACTCCATTTAAATTTCACCATAACAATAAAGTACAGTTAAATGAATAAATCGTGTTAATTAGAAGCGGGTGAAGGAAACGACTAACAATTAATTAAACGCTCTAATCATCGCCAGCTTTCTCTGTCCTTGGCGAACTCCTGGTCGCAATTTCCAAAAAGATTCACCAAGGAATCAAGGCGATTCAAATGGAAATACACGATTCGCGATTATTTACAATCGGCGTTCGCAAATGGCGATGTTCGCAGTGATTTTACAGTTAATCGGAGAGCGTGGCCTCGTCGCAGCGTCTTCCTCGTTTCGCCAACTGGTGACAGAGTCGCGGGCTGCCTATGATGTCGCCCAGGAACACGCTCAATAAATAATTCTCCTTCATCGGGATCGGCGATGATTTGTACTCGCTGTAAAACGACGAATACCAAACGTTACCATCTAATGAACCCGATTGTGAAAGCGTTACGATCGGCTCCCTCGAGCTAAATATATAAATCGCGCACGGAGGGCAAGTTGCAAAGTAACTGGATCGTGCCTTTTTTTCCGCTGATGGAAAACGTGGGTATATCATTGGATCGTTGGTGTTTATGGGGAGATTAAACGGGAATTTATGATCTCGTGCCTTTAAGTCTCATTTCTCTAATCTACTTCTCAATGTTTAAGAATTATTATTATTTCCTTTCTCGATCAAATCCCCCTTCCATCGTTTCTTTTTTTTTTAGAAAAATCTTGGAATTTGGCCGCGCTGGGAAACTCAAATCGACGAATCCTTAGAGTTTTTACGTGTATTGGTATTCAATTTCTAAAAAAATAATGATGATTTCGAATCGTTGTTTATTTTAATCAATGGATAATAAAATTTCCAATTTCTTCTTAAAAAAACGAATCTCTTCCCGAAGAGCGATCGTCCTTAAACCTCCATTCCTCGACGATCCCCGCTAAGGATCCCTCTTGCATGCTCCGTTAACCTTTCTCGAAACCCTTCTCCAATCCTCGATACATCCTCCCCTTCCCTCGACCACGTCTTGTCCACACACAGGTGACAGGAGCGATTAACCGTTCGTTTCGACGACACGCGCCGGCCATCTCGGCACCGTGAAATCGCCAGATAAGCCTTTCGAATTCGAGGGCGAATGGAGACACCGTGAACAGACGGAGGGGAAGGGGGTGGGACAGAGTTATCAGGATGCATTAGGTCGCTCGTGGAGACCGCCATTAAGGGCTATCTGCCGGTGGCGGTCTTACTTACAACTGAATTTAGTGCAACCTCGTGGCAAGAATCGATGGCACGGATTTCTATTAGCTCTCTGCTATTCTTCTTGGTCGACCCTCGACGAGAAGGAATTGTTACGCGAGACTTTGATTTCAACGTTTTTTTTTCTCTATCCTTAGCGAACTCCTGGTAATTTCCAAAAAGATTTCCAAGGAATCAAGGCGATTCAAATGGAAATACACGGGAATAAAAGGATGTTCGTCTAGAAGGAAGTTAGAAGAATCGATGAAGAGAGATATAAAAGAAGCATAAGAAGAGATACAAAATTTGTTATACATTATTGTAATGGATTGGTGAAGAATCGTTTCGGCGAAAGAGTAATTGGAAGTTGATTATTTGTGGTCTAATAAAATTAGAGAATTAGATAATTTATAAATTTTGCTATGAATTTTGTTTAATTATTTTATATATATATAAAATGTTATATTTTATACGAGTAAATAAATCATTGAATAAAACTAGTGAAAGATTTCGTAGTCCAGTTTTCATTTCAATTTTTAGAGACGAATCTGAATCTTCTCAACATATAACTCTTCTCAACATGTAATAGATGCAAAGTGTGATTCAATTCGATTTCGAGATTTTTTTCAATACACTTGCATAAGTTTCATCAGCTGTTCGAGCTCAGAATATTAACGAATTTTCGTGATTGGCAACTATTTAAAAAATTTCTCTTCCATGAATAAATTTCTATACCCATAAATTTGAATTGTGTAACGAAGTGAAAATACTCCTGTAATAAAAAGGAAAAAGCGTGTAAAAAGATATGACCTTTGCAAAGTTTTTTTCAATCAGATCTCTAACATTTAATTTAATTTTACACATTCTTCAAAGCTGTATATACTATTAAAACAAAACGTTAAAAAACAATTTCACAATTTTTTAACACTTTTCGGTACAACTATCCCAAAATACAAACAATTCCAAACTTTTTCTACTTATTTCCCTCAAATCCAGAGATCAAAAGTTATTAAAATAGATCGCAAAATAGATTGCATCTCAAAAAAAAACATACAAGAACATATACAAAAAACACAAACGAGAAAAAAAGCTTACACTTTGTTCGCCGATTGACATCATCGTCATCGTGTAGAGAAAGAAAACAGGGAGAAAAAAGAGCACGAGAAGAAGACGAGCAAGTCACAGTTGGCCGAGCAAATGGGCCAGTAATTTTCCACGATGCATTAACGAGCCCGTTATTAAGCTTCCTATCCGCGACTCGTTTCGCAACTCGATCGAGCGAAACAAAGGTGGAAAACCAGTCTCCTCGATCCTCCACACACTTTAACCATGAACTTCGGGGTCGTGATCACGCAAGCGACTACGTGCAATCGAGATGATCTCGTTATCGATGCTCTTATTTCATCCTATTCTATCTCATCGTCGAAGCTGGCTGTGCAACGATCGGTCGTTGAAAAAAAGATCGTTCTTCGTGTATGTGGATGATATAGACTGGTATAACCGAATCAAAGTGGATAACGTTTTTGAATAACAAATACGATGCAAATTGAACGAGCATCGGCGATGAACGAGAAACATGACGACGTTTTGTAATATTATTAATAGGATGTAAAGTGGACGTCGAGTCGATCGAGCCATCTCCAGGAACACGGAACTTACGATGTCGATGGTGAATGAGAGAGAGTATATGTGTGTAGCATGCGTTAAGATTCGTTTTTTTTCTTTCAACTTTTGTTTTGTAATTTCAGCTTGCACGTAAAGCGAAGTTGAAGTTGAATGGGAGAGAAAAAATTGGGTCGCAAGGGAAATCATTAGTTGTAGTAGTACTGTAAAGTAGCGAGGTAGTAGAAAGTGGGTTAGATTTTGCGGCGAAATTTGACTGTAATATAGAGGATATTTATAAAAGGAAAATAAAAGGAGAATTGATGGGGAGGAGGAATGGTAGTAGCGTGATGGTAGGTTTGAGAAATAGAGCGATGCACGTACATATACGTAATTTGTGGGGAAAAAATGGAATGGCTTAAGTAGTATGCTGTAATAGAGATATGATGTCCAATGATATCCCATTCAATAAATATATGTCTAAATAATGATTTCATTAATTATTGGATTAAAAAAAAAAAAGAAGAAACGTACCTGAAAATAATGTCCCAATCAAGAGCTCGTTCCCTGCTTCGTTTCTGCAGAGTTTGGGTGGCATATTTCGCGCAAATTCTCTCATAAACGCAAACGTTGTTGCCCAATTCCGATACCAATTTCTTCTCCACTTGATCGACATTGAGGATCTCTTCGTCGTGGACCAGAGGAAGATCTCGTCTCACTCGGCTGACGTAAGTTTCTTAAAAACGAAAAGGGAAAGAGAGGATAAAAATATCAAAATTGTTTCATAATCGATGAAACAATAATTTTTCTTTTTTTTTTTTAAATTATCTTCGTCGATCCACACGTTAATTTTTATTCCTTCGTTCTTACTCACTTTTTACAAATTTTATTTTCAATCTTTTATTTTTTCTTCGATATCATTTTCATCGAATCGAGCTAATGCACTATGCAGGTTCCAAATACAGACTGTCAAACGTATAGACGAGTTATTGTCATCAATCCAAGCGACGATCCACGTTTCCATCGTTCAAAAACCATTAAATAACTACCCTCTCAACTGATCCAACCAATCCAACCAATCCTGACTTCTTCAACGTTCACTTTAACGAATATTGACGTTATCCATCCGCGGTCGCGTGTTTGCCTGCTATTGCTCGTCAAATTTCAGACAGCCAAATTCCCCGTCCTGTCGAATTATCGAATTATCGAAATCTCTTTATCCGGATGAAACAAAATCTTGTCGATTTTATTATAATTAAACCAATTTCTTTGCTGCAAAATTATAATTGTCCATCGAGCGATAACAAATTTCAATATCCACCTTCGTCTCGAGATCTAAATTAAATTAATTAAATTTCATTTCATTCCCAAGGTAATATCGGTTCGTTCGTTATTTTCGACCAACAAATGGAAAGGAGAAATTTTTCCGCGTTCAGTGAGAACGAATTAATCCTAATTAGAACGAGTCTCGTCTCAAAAGGCAAGGAAGAACAACGAGCCATCACACGTTTACTCGTTTATTCCTAGTAGAGAAGTCGCAACAAGTGGAACACTTTCGCTTTCTCGCCGCTCGATTCTACGCCTCGATACTATGAATTACCTGCACGATGAAGTTCAACTCTTTTCGCGATCGATCAATGCGAAGAGCGTTGAACTTGGCCGCGAGTACTTCTCCACGGATCCCCTCGATCGTGTAATTGGACGAAACTGATTCTACTCTCGCGTTTGATTTCAGGATCATGGAGATCATCGTACTTTGAATTAGAACTTTGAATTAGAATTGATCTCGTTCGTTTGGAATATGTTTCATTTGAATTATTTCTTTCGTTTCGTTTGGTATATTAGTTTAGGCAATTACCTGGGTTCAACGAGTAGGCGAGTTTCTTTACGAAGTTGGTGATCCTCACAGTGGCTACGATCACCGGGAAGCCGATCAGCTGCACGGGAAGATTGAACAATGGTTCCTCTGGGTTCGGCGCGGCGTCCACCAACGTCACTGCCAAGAACCAACACCCAAGAATGGAAGAGGCTTGCGTCAATCGCATCTTGGAACGCTATAACGACAAATCAGTTAAATTATTCTCGGATTCTTTGTTTGCTTAGAGAGTTTCGATTTAATATACGTTCCAACAAGAAATCCTTGACACGATTCCTGTGAAGAGAACAAAAAAAAAAAAAAAAGAAAAACACATTTGTCTCTGAACATACATGAAAATTCTTATAATAATTAATATGCATTAAAGAATAATTCTATATGCTATAACGAGATATATATTCGATCAATTCAAACATACTTCGTCACAGAAATTCTACACAATACTCAATAGAGATCTAAAAATCGATTCAAATCCATGTACATAAATTCTATTTCAACGATTACAGATCTAATCCTAAATCTTCGATCCGAACAAATCGAATCCAAAATTAAGAGATCAATAGAAACACTTGGATGCACAAACCAGTCGTAAACAACTCAATCAACCCCGGCACACACTGTTCATTTAGAAATCCAGAACGATTTCGAAATTGAGAGACCTGTTCTACAGGCGGAGGAGCACCGTGACGGAAACGTGACGGCGGACTAGTTGTTCCTTTGGTAAAAACTCGTGGCCGAGTGTTCCTCTCGTCGGCTCGTACGCTGGTTCGCCGCGTCCGAGAGAAAGTGTTCGACCCCTTCCTTCAACGAGCCGTTCGAACGATCGGCTGCGACCGATTGCGACATTTAGTGCGCCACCAGGAACCGCACGCGACGTCGCCGCCGATCCTCCTCTTGCAGAGCCGTGGCCGACCCTCGGCAAGGTCGTCGTCACGGTTTCGAATCCGTTCCGACTCTTTGCTTTCGATCGCTTTCCACGATGGAAAGTTTCCGTATGGAATGTCGGCCGATGCCTCGAAGGAAATCGAAAGTGGTGGACAGAGGGTTAACAGGGGTCCGAGGCGCGCTGACCGTCGGGGCTTTGGGAGTGGCCGTTGAACCGTCGAGCGGAAACGAGTGGCATTTCGAGTTCGATTTAAGAACTAAACGAATATTCGAGCGAAAAAAGACTCGAGATCCATGGATCTCTCTTTTCGATCGGAGGAAGGTGAAGGGTGCGAGAGTGAAAGTCAAAAGTTTTTCATTGTATTTGAAAGTCGGAGTGTATCGATAATAAGTGTCGAATTCGAGGAAGAAAGTGAAAGTGAAAGAGATTTGAAAAAAAATTTTAAAGCTATATAAATTTAACGAGAACGTAAGATTTATAGATTCTTTAAATATATATATTGAGAGATTTGACAATTTCAATTATATGAATGTAATGGAAATGTAAGATTTTTATCAGTTTTGAAATACTTGTACAAGTGTAATAGTATCGAGAGTTGTGTTTATTTATTCACTTTTTTAAAGAAATTTTTATAGGATAAATCTAGCTATGGAGAGCGTCGATTAAGTTGAAGGTTTTTTGAGTGATGTTTTTTTGAAGCATTATCTCGTAATGGTAGATAAAAATGGTGTCGGTAAACGCTTAAGTGCGATCACGTAGCTGTTACTCCGTAAGAATATAATCGATTTCTTGGAGAACGATACCGATTACGCTTAAACGAATCGTTGCTCAATGAAACGTTGTTTTTCCTATCGTGTCCTCGTTCACGTTAACGCGAATGTGTGTCGTCGATGCGCTTTTACCTGGCCGCAGAGACCAATGATCGATTTCCTGCGTTCACGATGATGTTTAGATATCCAGTTATATAATGGAAAGTAAGATGTAATTGGAGATAAGAAATTTTACGAGTAATTTCAATAATCGATTCATTATTACACATCTCTATTATATTAAAAATTAATTCTTCGAAAAATATACTATTTTCAATATATATATTTTTAACTTCTCCACTTTCTCGCTTCTTTCCAAAGCAATTTTACATGCTGGATTTTCAAAATTTTCGATATTTTTTGCAATTTCTCCAATTGCTTTCACAATCGATTACGATCGAAAAAAAATTTTTTTTTCCAAAGTTTAAAATACAAATAAATCCGCGATATCGCCCGGAACTCGTTCCAAAGGCGGTGGTGGATCGTCGCGACGTTGTTTCGAGCGGAACGCAGCAGGGGATCCACGATTTCTTGCGAGTTGGCGCGCGATAAACGAAAACGCCTCCGATCATTTTTGCTGAACGAGATGCCACGGGATCGTAACTGGTCGCCGTCGTTTTTGGCACGATCCTCATCGCGATCGTTACGGGGAGGAAGCCCGCCTGGCGTTGCGCTTAAGCCGATAAAAGGCGCCGGAGATTATTACAATAACTTTTCGCCGCTTCCGACGCCCCTGTAAATTGTTCGGATTGTTTTCTTACGCGGAATCACCCCCGTAAGAATTGCTTTTTTCCCTCCCTCTCCCCTTTGGACCAAGCGGAAGACTTTTATTTTTTAAAAAGGATAGCGGCGAGAATGTAGTTTTAGTGAAGACTTGAAAAATTTTTGGAGGTAAATACCTACGTTTAGGAATTATTTTCCAATATTTTTTTCTTATTCTATCCGTCCATCGTTCGCGCAATCGTACCTGCATTTTGAATAAAGGCTAAATCATTGTTGGTTTAAATCGTTTAATAATGGACAGTAATTGAATATAAATTTAAATGGATTGAAACTGGTGGGTAATTACTTTGCATAAAATAAATAAAAATAAAAAAAAGAAAGGAACGACACGATATTCGAAACGAATATCGATCACGTGATAGATTTAGATGCAATTATTTTCAATCGCATGATAAAAAGAAAAAGAGAAGAGTTTTTAAGGTTTTGACTTATTTTTCGATAAATTTCCATGTAATTCTAAAGAAGCTGTACAGTTCACGATCGATATTTGAGTACTTATTTCTCTTAATTCCGGAAAAAAGCATCGCGAGACGATAACGAGCAACGAGAAAGAACATAAATTGGCGTGGAGCAAATTAGAAACTTTGACTTTTCGGTGGTGCGCGCGAGAAATAATTATAAGGAACGAGTTTCCCTGGTGAAGAGCCATTACGACAGCTTTTACACTCTGAATATTATGTAAAATCACGATGGAAACCGACCATTGCTCTCTCTTATTCTCGAAAACGTGGAAAATATTTCGTAATCGAGCAAAGATATGCTCGAAAATGTGCTCGGATATCGGCATCTTTAATAAAAATGTTTGAACAGTGTGTCAATAACGATTCGACGATCTTTGAAAATTTTGAAAAAAAAATCTTTCCAAACTTTTGAAATATCTTTTTAATAATCATACATTCGAAGAGTATATGTATAAAAAGGAAAAGCACGAGACGAAGAATTTTCGAAGAAACGTTAGGGTTCACGTGTGAAAGAATTTTTATTTGCATCAATGGATAAGACATACGATATTTCATTATACATATAATTCATAATCTTAACACTTTGTATACATTGCGTTAAAACATAATCGAAAGTTATCGAGAATATTAACGGCGAAAGAAATAAATAATTATTATCAGATTTTTTTTTTCTTTCTTCTCGATTATACACGAGATTCACAAAGATTAATTATTACTAATATAGATTATCACTTCTTACATACTTTTCTTAATCTAAAGCTATGTTACATCGATAAATCGCCATATAATCCAATGATTATTGGAATATATTTGAAATACTATTGGATAACTTGATAAAAATCATTCCTTAAATATACTTAATCTACGCGCGAGTTTCTCTAATCGTGCTGAAGATAATTTCAAAATATTATCACTGTAACTTAAAATAATATCAGGGATATTCTTTTCGTTCAAAATTTCCCTTCAGAACAATCCATCCGATCGCTCGTTCGAGATTTTGGTTACAGAAAATTTAGAAGAGGAATCGTCTGCGATATCACAGGTTGAGTCGTCGTATTTTTTTTTTCCTTTTCTCTTTTTCTCTCTCTCTCTCTTTCTCTCTCTTTCATTTCTACGCGATTCCGTCGCGTCAGCGCAATCGAATCTTCTTCATCATGTTGAGAACGCTGGATCCAGGCAGCGGACAGGTGGGGTAGAAATTATGGCATCCTTGACCTTCCACGCCGGATATCAGTTGACCCATATGCGCGGCGAAGTGGTACCTCGAGGGCACTTCCGCCAACGTGCTCAAGCTCGTGTCCCTGAAAAAGTTTCCATGAAATATTCATCTACTCTCCTATCCGCGTAATCAAAATATTATTTCGTGACGCAAAAAATTAATTAAACATTTATTATCGAATTTCCATTTCGAGTTGAAAGGTGAAACTTTTAATTCTTGCAAATTAAAGTCTTCTCAAATTTTCAGAGTATCAGAGAAAACTCCGATAATGAATCGAAACTTCGATAACTTTCCTAATAAATTAATAAACTTAGCCGAATAAATTTGTTCTTAAAAGAACTTTTAAAATGATCTTATAATGTTGATATCCAATAGACTTAATAATCATCGTTAATCGTGATGTTATCGTTCGTTTCATTTTGCAAGATGACGAGGTTAGATCGGGTTAAACGATGATCAAAGACGGGCTCAGATTACAGTTACATTTATCAATCATAGCGATAAAAATTGACTGAGATACTGGACAAAAATTTAGAAACGCAAATATAATAAGCACAAATTTCTTCGTGTGGTTGAAAAAAATATTAATCAATCAAATGGTGTAATCGTAGTGGAATAAAGTCCATTTTTGATTATTAGATCATTACGCGAAGAACCATTAATAAAAAAAATTTGTTTTCTAATTTTCTACAGTTTCTCTTTTTTCCCCCATATCACAGAATCATTAACATATTCTCATTAATGCTCCGATGAATACCTTATTGTTGTGGAAATCTCTCATTCTGCACACAGTGAAATCCAGCCATTATAAATTTTCTAAAAACGGAGCATCCAACGATGCGCAACGTGATCGCAAAAAAAAAAAAAAAAAAAAATCGTTACACTTAAGAAACTTACTCATTCGTTCGTTCGATAATTCGGATAAATCATCAATTTTTCCTACGCTTTTGCGCGCACAACTCAGCGCGAATGAATACGAAACAGGTGTCATATTCGAGACGTGGTGTTTCGCAAGAACCAGAGCCACAGTCGCGAAAACCACGTTTCGAAACGGTGAATAAAGAATAATGGACAGGCGTCGACGCCAATGGCATGCACGAAATCGAACTCCACTTTCGTAACGGTTGACCATGATAAACTGGTCGAGGCACGAAGCACATAAGAACAGGCACAAGGCGAGTCGCCTTTTACTTTCGATATCGACGACTGTCTGTAAATCCGGTTTACGCTCGGATCGAAATCGACTGAAAATCCCTCCAACCCAGCCAGCCAGCCAGCCAGCCGTCTTTCCCCGCTCTCGACTGCGAAAGAGGTTGGATGAAGAAAAATAGCCACTTCCGGCTAATCACACGCTCGCCCACTCGCCACTATAATTTTAACTTTCGATCCGTTCCAATTTCACTGTTCTATTTCGTTCCACTTTGGAATTCGATCGGTTTCAGCTGAATTTATGGCATTTCGATGGAATTTTTTATTCTTTCGAGAAATTCGATATTTTCACTCCTAATGAAAACGGGGAATATGGGATACTTATTGTCGATACTTATTGAAATTTTATCGAATAATCTTTAATTCCGTGCGTGCAAGATGTAATTGATCTTGATGACTTATAATTAATTAATTAATTGCGAAGGAAAATATGCGGATATAGATAAACTATATGAAAGAATACTTGATCTCTTTTCCTCGCTATTTTATTTATATGTTATAGAAACAGAAACATTTGCTTTTAATTTAATTCAAAAATGACCTTAAAAAAAACAACAATCAATAAAACTATAATCAGTGAAAAACATCCTTGTCATCGTGACAAAATTTAAAATTAAAATCACAATTATATACTGTTCCAATCGATCCAAACAGATCATTCGACGATTTAAAGAATGCTCAGAAAGAAACAACAACCAACGATTACAATCATTGAAAAAGATCCATCACTTCCTCACTTATAAGAACGAAAAAAATTTGCATCGTCTCTAAAAAACAGAAAAAAAAACAAGATATAAAATGTAAAATCACGATGTCCAATCACATCTGTTTCGAGATCACTCGAAAACTCGGATATTCAAAATTTCGAGAGAAGAAACGATAATCGACGATTATTCAAAATTACAAAATCATCGAAAAAAAGGAAAACATCCACCTAAAACAAAAACCTATAAAAAAAAAAAAAAAAAAAAGAATTTACATCGCCTCTGACAAAATTTAAAATTAAAATCGCAGATCCAATTATACACTTGTTCGCTTTAAAAATCACTCGATCACGAATCACTGGCCGATAAATTGACTCGAAAAGGATAGTCACGATCTCGAGGAGGAACAACGATCGTCGATCGTATCCATGGACCGCAACCCGGCTGAAGAAAAAAGAAAAATACTCCTCGGCGGAAATAAGGAAGCTCTCTCGATCTCGAAGAGGAGGAGGAAGAAGAAGAAGAAGAAGAAGGCTAGCTGGATGAAGAGAGCGTTTTGCAAGAAGCAGTTTCGTCACGCATCGCTCGCACGAGGAAGACGTCTCGCAAAAGGGAAATCTCCCTGTTTGGCCTTTTACGATCCCTGGCCCTCGAGGCGAGCATAACGAGGATACAGGCAAAACGGCTTCTTAGCTTTTCCATCTTGATCGGTTCCAAACCTCGAGCGATCCAATAAAAATCGGCCTCGCTGCGGAAAACGGCGTTTACGCACGCATAAAAGTAAATATAAAGCGAGTCGCTTCCGGGACGTTAACCACGATCCATCGCGACATCGTTCCTCCGTTTCCTCGTTTACTTTCTCTGTTTTTTTTTCTTCTTCTTTTTTTTTTCTCTTCCGCTTCCTTTATACCGCGTTTGAGGACATTTTAATTTAACGCTTCGTTGGGCGGGAAATGGGAGAGAATAGAGGGGGAGGAGGAAAATGCTATTTCTCATTGATTTCGATTTGTAAAGAGAGAAGATTCGGCGAAGATCTACGAAGAATACGCGTGTAAAATATATTTGAAAACTCTACCGTCTACGATGTTGAAAGAATAATTGAATCTTGACAACTGATATATATATATATTTTTCAACTTGAATTTTATCGAATTGAAAGAAATTTTAATTTGTTTAAAGTGCACGTGAAAGGGCGAATCCAACGCAATCAATCTTATTCTCATCAACCCTTTTGCAAAAAATTGCTCTTCCACAAGATCAAATAGTTAATTAATCGCAAAGGAAGGAAAAGGAACACGGGATTCAAAGCCTTAATTGCTGTCAATTAAACTCGGGCTACGCGAAATTTACTTCTTCGAGCGGAAGAGTGGAAACGCCACGTGTAATTTCGCGAGATAAAGCATCGCAGTCAGGTAACCACGGTGAATTAATCGTTAAAGCCGAGCTATCATTCTGTATCTCCTTTTTTCTCTAAAAAAAAAAAAAAAAGAAAAAAGAAAAGAAAAAAGAAAAATATAGAAAAATACCTTCTTCTCGAGAATTACACGACACGAGATCATCGATTCTCCGCATGATTATCCACATCCGGGAGGGGGAAAAAAAAAGGAAAAAATTCAAGAGAAGAAATTCAGATCGAGAGATGCTCGAAGTGCCGTCGTAGAAAGTCGAAAGATTGAATAAGCCGTGAAAAGGAAAGTGATGGATCGTTATAACGAAGATAATCTTGGTCGGGTTTGTAAGTATGTACATACACAGGTCGTTCCCTTTTTGAAGTGGAACTTACGTAAGAGTGATGGAAACTTTCACTTGTTGTACTCCGACCTCTTTCGCTCGTTGGAGAACCGTCCGCTCTTTAATGGCCGGAAATAGTAGCAACTTCTTTCCTATTCCTAACGTTTGTCACGCTTTCTTTGTAAATAATCGAGAGAATTTTATTATTTAGAATTAGATAGAGAAGAGATGATTTTTATCTCAGTTTCCAATTTAAAATTTGTCAAGAATTCGAGGAATAATCGAAAAGGGAGAAGCGAACAAATCGTTCCGGAAAGGAATTAATTCAATTTGTTCTTAAAATTTATCAATTTGAAAGAAGAAACTTTCCCTTTAATTGAAAATTCCTCGACCATCGCGAAACAAGAAACGTCCATTTCCTCGTTCCAATTTCCTCAAATTCGAACAAACGTCGAAAAAGAAAAATTAATCGAAAATATTTCGAAAATATATTTTACACTCCTTAAGTAACTTGCTCTCTCGATCAATAATATCGACAAAATTTAAAAGAGAGAGAAAGATTCGTAAAAATCCATTGACCAAAGAAAAAAAGAGCTGGCAAAATCATTGAGTGCTACCGAAACGAACCATTTTTCGGAAAAATAAAAAACTCTCCACCAATTCCCAGCAATGCACAGGGTCGAGGCGAAGCAAACCGTGGCCATTGTCGGAGTCAATATTTGACCGGTTCGACATAACTTTGCTTTTAATCAGCGGGCAAAATGGCTCGCATTATCCAAATAACGCGTCGCGTGTTCGCCTTTCGGATCGTAAACGAAAATTGCGGAGATACGGGCGCGTATCATCCAATTTTCGTCCGTTCGTTCGGAGAATCGGCGCGACGATTCGCCGACAAGCGACGAGGAAAATTGGGAAAATGGCGGCCCTCCTCCGTCCGGTAGTTAGCCAGGCCATCCAATTTTCGATGACACGCGGATTCTCGCGCTTGTTGCGCGATATCGAGGCTGACTGTTCGACCCGTGCATATGTTTAGCGAGATATCGAACTGACGTTTGTTTTGTGCTTGTCCCCCCTCGCTGCAAACAGCGAGTTGTTGTTGTTGTTGTTGTTGTTGTTGTTGTTCCGCGTTGGAGCGCGGCCGGTTGATCGATATTCGCGAGGATCGAAGCGAGCTATCCGGCGCGCGCGTCGCTCCATCGGTGTAATCTGGAGATTGGAAGGTAATCCGACGAGCTGACGTTTAATTCTACGGAGGGAGGGAGGCAGAGAGAGAGAGAGGAGCGTGTGGATTGTTGTTTATGAACGTTGCGAGAGATTTTGAGCGTGGGAAGGGTTTAATGAGGGTTTTCGGAATGGATGGTGTGGGATAGGCTGATTCGAAAACTAGGCTGATTATTTTTTTTCTTTTTTTCTATCTAATGTTTACGATGCGAGTCTTTTCTGAAAATTTGTGAAATTTGTAAATTTGTTAAATATTTTTGGAGATTTAATGGAGGTTTTTGGATAAGAAGGATTGAATGGGATTTTCTTTTTTTTAAATCGAAGATATCGATTTAAATTTTTAGAAGGATATCAAGATAACTTCAATTGAGAAAAAAATGATGTTCGAAAGAAGAAAAATATGCGATGTCGTCTCTAAATTTCTATTTTCGTTGGACGAAGATTCGATTATAAAATACGATTTTTTTTCACATAAATAAGGAGCATCATCGAGGAATATAAAAAGTTGATAAGTTGTATATTATCTCACGATAGGATACACGTACCACGAGTCTGAGATAATTGTTATGCTATCTTTATTGACATTTCGAGAATCTTATGAACCGCGAGTTGATTCGCGCGAGATTAGTTCGGTTGTTATGTTACTGTTAATGGCGATCGAAAGTTGAAAGAGAAAGTGGCAAAGTGGAAAGTAAACAAGTTATACGAGCACCCTATGAATCGTTGTAAGAGTTTCCATCGCAAAATTGCTTGATCATCCATAAAATTTCAACGTAAATCACTCTTTACGAACGATTAATAAACAATTTTAAACAACGTGTAATTATATTGATTTTTCTGTTCATATTCTGTTTCACCTCTTTCACTAAAGCAAAACAAGCTCGAGCCAAGTTCGAAAACGGATTCCAGAAAATTTTAAGTATTCACCGATGGATAAATCGTTTTCTAAAAAGTTTTCACGTTGAACAGTTTTGTAAATGGAAAGAAATTTTGAAAGTAAATTAAAAAAAGAATTTGAGAAATCGTGTCAATCGTATTTACAAATTAAAATAAAATTAGAATATTTCTTCCTGTGGAATGCTACTTGTAACTTCACTGTATTCAAAATGAAAGAATAAATAATACTCGATAAAAAAATTCCACGGAAGCAAATATCGACCAAAATTTCGAACAAAATTAATCGCTCAAGTCTAATGAAATGCTCGGATCATCGTTTTGTACTTGGAAAGTAAAAAATTGTCAAATGTAACGCTGTTTCGTTAGCTACTTGTTCTTTTTTTTTTTTTCTTAGGCCTTGAACTTATCAAACACGAGGGACAAAGAAATAAACGCAATTTATCGTTTACCTGATTAAATTTAACAGGGACCTTTCCATTTCGCTTAGCTGATCCTGATTGACGGACGAGGTCAGTTCGCATATCAGCTTGGGCAAACAAGCAGTCTTGATCGTCGTCATCATTCTTGCACGCCGTGAAATTGCTGCAAATTAATCCATATTATTAGAACACGTGTAAACCTCTTATTGATCCAATGAATATCTGATATCACACGTTCCAGAATCTGATTCTGACTCTGAGTCCGTATAGTACGCCTGTAACGTAGTGCACCGTGTCAAGAATCAAGGATTATCCTTTTACTTTTCAGAGAAAACGCACGAGTTGCGCACGAAGATATTTAACTTAATAATTAAATTAAAAGTAACAGATATTTTCTCCTCAATCTTCGTTCGTTCTGTGAATATTCACCTTAATTTGCCCCCAATTGAATCAAATTATAAGTTTCTCGTCGGTTTCATTTAATTAAAGAAACCATCGAAGTAGCAAAACGAGGATTAAGTACCTTTTACACGTGGAGAAATTTGTCGGCAATTACAGAGATATTCGAAAGATGCAAGATAATAAATTATCGAAATATAAATAGAAAAAAAAGAAAAAGAAATCGCGGGAATAACACGTATTGAAATATATTTTATAATCAAACAATTCGATCTCTTGAAATAGAAGTGGAACTTGCTTGATCCTCGTTAATTAATTCGATTAATCCGTTAATGAGATAAAAAAATATAATTAATCAAGCCGAATGACTATGGAATTTTTCAATAGTCGATTGTCACGATCACGATAATTCTGCTTAAATATGACATAAGATACTCAATAAGGATGTGCTAAATGGACGAATGTTTACCAGCAAAAGACTTCCTTATAAACTTCATCGAGCGTGTTTCGTTAAATTTACAAAAGCAAAGAGTGCGGCGAAAACGATTAAAAAATCTTTTCTCGAACTCGAACAATTGACTTGTACGGAGAAAAGAGTAATTGAGAAGAAACATTATCTCTTGTCAATTACCATTAATCACATCAAAGAAGAAAGTCTCGATGAATCACGCATACGGTACGATAAATATCACGTGCACTTAAAATTACGATATATAAAAACATCATAAAAAATTTCGACAGAGAGAAAAATATACATACGTGTAATCTTATTCATATTTATTACTCTAGAAAATATTATTAATTAAAAAGATTATTATTTATGCTTCTTTCGAAATAACAAACATCAAAAAGTGGCAAACAAAATTCAACAAAAATTCAAGTTATATATCAAATTACAAACGTCAGAATCTCCTTTCTAAACACTCGTCCAGCCTTCTAAACCAAATTTAAAATATCTTCCAATGAAATCACGAACGCTCCGCACGCGAGCCCGCTTCGTGACTCGCTTCATCATAAATATTCCCACGAATTAGAACGAATAGAACACGTTACGAACATCCTGCGACGAGATCAATTTATTATCCCTTACCGTTCTCCTTCTCGTCCATCTTCTTGGTGACGGACAGGGCTAACCTGCCCTCGGGATCGTTGCTCCTCCCTTGGCTCTCGGGACTTTTGCTCGGCTCCGTGACGTTTTGCCCGCCCGACCGGCCGAAAATCGCGGTGATCAGGTAAGTGTAGTCGCCCGCCAGCATGAGGAACATGCCGAGGAATATGACCAGCCGCACGGTGCTTGTGTCCATGACCATGCCTCCGG